AACCCAAGCCCCCAAAGCCAGTCCCCGAAAAGCCTAAGCCAAATCTGGTCGAAGTTAAAGCCAACAGAGAAATTTCCCCAATTACGGAACCAACTCCCCAATATTATCTTTTCACTTGTGATATTTGTGAAACTCACCAAAAAAGCCACCTCCACCGAGGCCGAGTCAACGGACTGGGCCTGGACCCTAATAAAGTGCTGAAAATCTGTGCTAACTGTATCCAAAAAGTCGATTTAATAACCGAAACCAAACCGAAATATATTTGAGAATAGCCATGACCACCATCCGAGAAAAATACCCTAATTTTACTAATTTTTGGGATAACTACCGAGCAGGATTTTTTAACCAGCATAAGGAGTTAGTTATTCAATCCATAGCCCTGTCCCATTCCCATTCTCTTTACGAATATTGAAAAGACAGCCATTACGAACCCGAGGAAGGAATTTTTTACGGCAAATTATTCGGCAAGTTAACCCAAGACATTATCCGAGATAGTCGTAATCGGGAAATTTATGACAATGTTTTTAAAGTCATTAAGTTAAAGGACAAAGAATTATTTAAGTCGGGCAGTAAAGTCGAACACAGTAAAACCGACGAGAAAATTAAGGCTACTCCCCAAGCTACCCGAATAAAAAATATTCCTACGGCCCCAGGAGGAGATTTAACCAGCAGCACTTACGGCCGAGCCGAAATATTAGAACAAGAAAAACGAGACCTTAAACCCTATGAAAAAGAAATTACGAGAGGCCGAAGAGCCACTAATAAAGAAGGTAAGTCGTTTTATGGTGATACTTACGACAAAACGGAAAATTGAGGAGATAAAAGTTGGCTCGGGAAATTATTAGGAGCTTTACAATATATCCCGTTTAACTTTAATCCCCAAAGTTATCAGTTCCTTTTTTTACAAATATTCGGAGCCGAAGGCCAATTAATAACTTTACCCAGTGGCAAGAAAAAATGAATTAGCACTCCGTGAGAGGAAGACGAGGAAGAAGAAGCCGTAATTACTCCTAAAAAGAAAAAAATTCGAGTGGATGACAGCAGTGAAATCACTTGGGAGGAATGACAAGGAATTTGTGCCAAAAGGAAAATCACCCCGACCCAACAAAACTTTTACCTGGAACAAATAACCCGATATTTAAAACGGAAGGAAAAAGAACATGCCCCACCTACTTCTTTAACGGGTTTGGGTATTCAAAAGCAGAAGGAATTAGCCGAAGGACTAATTAAAGCCTGGGAAAAAGATTTGAATGTTCCCCAGTTAGCCAAGTTTAACGAAATAATGGACGAGGTGGTCGGATATGCCGAGTTCAAAACCAAAATGAAAATGTATCTGGTGAACCTAGCCAAAGACATTAAGCAAGGCAAAAAAACTGAACAAAGCATTTATGTTCTGCTGGGCCCTCCTGGGATTGGTAAATCTTATATTAGTGAAAAATTAGCCCTCGCCCTGGAAAGACCTTTAATTAATATCGACCTGGGAGGCCGAAAAGAAACTGGCATATTAGAAGGCACGGGAACTAGTGTTAAAGGTGCTTATCCTGGTCGGATTTGTGCTGGCATTAGCATTAATAAAAACCGAGGAGCCGTTATTTTATTAGACGAGTTTGAAAAAGTAAAAGACGACGGACTAAAAATGATGTTAGGTAATGTGCTAGATGTCAAAAAGAATAAAGACTGATACGACCAATTTTTAGGTTATCGGGTGGACTGTTCGGACTGTATTATTTTATGCACGGCCAATTATGTTGTCCAAGTGCCCGATTTTGTGAAAAACCGAGCCGAGATGGTCAACATTGAATTAGCCACCTATCAGCAAAGAGTAGAGTATGTGCTGAAAAAATTAAGCCAAAAATTACGGGGTGATGAGGACACCAAAAATTATGCCGACCAATTGACGGAGGAATTTTGCCAGTATATAATCACCGAAGAATGAGGCTA